GAGAGAGAGAGAGAGAGAGAGTCATGAAGAGCCCACCAACCCACTTACTTCTTTAAACACATATATAGACCCTATAAACTCAACAAAGAGGCCCGGAGGTCCAAACCCGAGGCAGTAGCGCCAGAACACGAAGAATGCTAGCCTAAAGCCATGCAGCCGAAGCCCTGAAACCGTGAAACCCCGAGGCCCTATAAAGCTTGAGGCCCTGCAGAGCCATGTATGAAAGCCCGCAAGAAAGTCCAGGACCCGACCCCAAAGCCCCCTTTAGGCCCCTGAAGCCCACCAACTTTGTTCTTTTGCATGAACTTCCCAAACCATAGATGCACCCTATATAACACCCTCTAAGACTCTGTAAACCAGATTTATAAACCTGCCACGTACGTACAGATTGCCCAGATGAGCCCTATATAAACTCTGACAAAGGAACATCTGGTTCCTTCTCCAGCTCATCCAGCCGATGGGGAGCCCAGGCTTCCATCAAGATCCGTTTGAGGTGCCTGACCTTCTGATTTCTTGGACACGTCGTCTGGGTAAACCTTTTCACGAAGTGCGACATGAGCTTTCGCAAGCCCCATGAATCACAGTCCAAGGATGCAGGGGCTTTGCGCCCAGTCTCACCCCAGAGTGTCCGGACCTGCACAAGTTTATGGTTTGCAGGAGTAGTAGTCGTAGTAGTAGCTAGCAGACTATCAATCGTCGTAGCCATAGCTGCAAAAGGTAATGCAACAGTGCCTCCTCAGCCAGAGCCCCAACACGTGGCGAGCGAGGCTTCGCACAAATCTTGACCCACTGTTCGAAGTACGGTAGCAGTATCTCGTAGTTGAGAGCGGCGGCTTCGTACGAGGGCACACCTACAGCTTCCGGCTTCAACCAGCTCAAGAGGCGGCCATCAAAGCAAAGCCGGCGACGGATGGAATCCGTTTGCTCCCACTTCTTCGCCAGCCCCGTGAACCCATCCAGCGGCATTCGCGATGCCATTTTGAGTCTTCGACAGAAGAAAAGACAGATGTAGATATATGTATATATATATACATACATACATACACTGATTTTATATAGAGAACCCTGGCAGCTAGTGAAACATCGTCAAGAATTTCTGCGATGTGGTCCCAGTGCTATACACCAGCGGCACCCAACTACAAAACTGCATTTATCCTGCATGCAAAGGATCCAGAAAATTGCAGCGATGCAGAACCACACAATCACATTTGATGGGCACGGGGCCCCTCTGGACAGCATGCATCATGCATCTGCCCTGTCTGCAAGCTGCATGCACTCTCATCGGAAAGCTGGGAACACTGCCATCGCAGCTCGGGCGGCAGCTATGTTGCCAGGGTCAATCCACACACAGAACCTGCGCACATCGGAAGTTATAGTTGGTTCTGATTTGTATAGATGGCACAGACATGCTTGCAAGACTCAAGGCCCAGGTTGGCTTCTTTTTCCAGTGGCACAGCCAAGGATTGATTAGCCACCCGCGCTGGACACCTTATCATCTTCTGCAGCTGCCTTTGGCTGGCCCCGAGCTTCCTGAGATGTACTGACTAGCACGAATGAGCCACTACCGTGGAGCTCCTGAAGTAAACCCAGCCGATCTAGCCCAAGAAAGCTGGGTTTTGTTGCAGGCAAGTGGCTTCCAGCATACCTAATATGGTATACATGCATACTTTGCGAACTGAGAAATCTGCATGAACTACGGCTTTGCAAACGATTGCAAGCATCATCTTACAAAGGAGCCAAGTTACGAATGCGATACACACCTGCAAGATGGTGGGCATACCCACGGGCATGGTAGTTCTCCTTGATGATGCTTTTTGCACGCCCCTCCGTTATGTCCTGCACAAACTTATGCAGTATTTGAACACATCATCTGTAAATTGCAATCCTATCTCTGGATCACAGATGCCTCCTTGTCGATGCCCAGAGCAGCTTTAGCACGACTCCAAAACTCGTCGGGAAGATCCAGGAGTCCTAAAGAAATCACCCAGACGACGAGTCAAAACGAATCACAACAAAAGATGCTGAAGCTCCTTCGTACTGCTCCGTTGGAAGTGAAGCCGACATCAGTTTCCCCAGCTTGAGGAAGAGTACGTACACGTACACACTCTATAGAGCCGGACGAATGCTGTAAATGGCTCCACGGTCAAGGGCATTTTGCTGTTCAGACAGAGCAGCTGCAAGCAAGGGAGCAGTGTGAGCACACCATTCAGGCAAAATGTGCACGGGGGGGCGGCGGCGTGCCTCATCATCATGAGATTCGTACCAATGAGCCAGCTACGACTGCTAAACAGGTCACAACATACCGGGTTTTGGAGTTCCTTACTTAGATCAAGGCTAGATCACTCGAATATGGATCGAAGTCACTGCCTCTGACCAGAATCGGACCTTTCCCTGTCGAACGATTTGCTTTTGGACCTTTTTGTGTTGCTGTCAACGTCAAGCAGGCCGGCGATGCATTTTCGGGGCTGAGGTCTGAAATTACCCAAAGGGCCGAAGAGACGTTGCTGACTAGTTACAGAATAGGTCAGGTCTGAAATTTCGGGGTCACAGGATGATCCAGGTAAGCTTTAAAACGTGTAAGCCTTCGAGTGTAGGTTGGCTAGGGTGACGGTTTATGTTCTTCTTCAAGCTTAGAGCCTGCATTCAGGCGGGATTTAGGGTGGGGTGTAAGGTTTAAAGTGTTAAGTACAGGTTAAGGTTTATGAAAACAGGAGCACGCCCTACGTAATGGGGTTTATAGGGTTACGTAAGATCCCGACCCTCTTTGTGAACCTGGCCGCCTGCCAGCAGCACCCCACCTCCAGACTATGTATAATATACGTTGCATGGGCATGACCCGGCAGTCCAAAAGCAACCACCGCAGCCATTTCGTCATCAAGTTAGGCTCGCCTCAGCCATGAACAGCATGTAAGCTACGCCGGGCAACAGCAACCTTTTGGTGCTTCCGCTGCAGTACATCGTGCAGTTCCACATCAAACCCACCGAATGGGCATGCGAACTACGATGCCAAGGCCAAAACTACACCCGTGAGATCAACTACATCCAGTACAACAACGTCCGTCAAGCGACCCACCGCCTTACGGCACCAGATCAACATGCTACCGAACTACAAGTCGACACCACTTTGCATACTACAACGCCGCGGCATCTGAGACTACAACAAAGACGACCACCATCTGTCGCCTGGCAGCAACATGTAAAGCCGCCTATGTACATATCAGACACTGCCTCATGCCTCACCACGCAGGAGTGGCGACACACTATTGTGTCTCCATGCCGTTTAACAAGACCGCCTCGCGTCTTCCGACATGTTCACCCACACACTCCACCAAACCTTAAACACATTCATGAAACATCGCAATCTCACAGTCTGGCAATTGATTAACCAGCGAAAATGACGGCAGTGTCGTGTGGTGGTGGCAATGGTTCGAAGTGACGCGTCGGTGGATTCGATCCAAAGCACAGCAGGATCGGCAACTTCTCGCCGAAAAGGGCAGCGAATCCGATTCGACCTTTGATGCACAAACGCAGTCACTCCATGTAGGGAGAACTTGGCTCAATTCGTTTTGCTGCCGAGAGCACTCAGCAGCCTGCATTGAGTAAGAGAGCTAGCCGAAGCCTTTCCAGAAACCCTTCATCACGTTTGCTGGCTGATAATGTTGAAAAAGTCCGACTGAACGATGCAGCCCTGTTACAGGGCATGTGTGATGTGCACACGCTTGCACATGGCGGCCGTTCATTGATTCAGTGAGAAAAAATTTTTGCTGCAGGGGCTGCCCCGCATTTGTGGGGCTGTGGGTGTGCGAGTGTGTCTGTGTGTGTGTGTGTGAACTTCCTTAGCACATGGGAAAAGGTCATTCCTACATCGGTTTGTTTTTTCGCCTTGCGGGGGGGGTCTTTGGGGGCCTAACTTGGGCCAGAGCCAACGAAGATGCCCAACCCAGCAAGTGCTTAGTAAGTGCTTGTGAAGCACGGATGGACGCATCCTTGTGTACCTGCCAAGTGATGATGAATGTAAAAGCATCTAGAATCTTTGCTGTGCATTGATTACTTTAGCTGTGGTTTCTGAGAAGGTTACAGCATTTTTGTGACTGTGATACAGCAAACAACAACCCCGTCTTCTCTGCTTGCCTCTGCTTTTGCCGAAATCCCACAAGTGTGTGTGTGTGTGGGGTGGGTGGGTGGGTGGGTGGGTGGGTGGGTGGGTGGGTGGGTGGGTGGGTAGATGGGTGGGTGGGTGGGTGGGTGGGTGGGTGGGTGGGTACATATTTTTTGCTTGTGGGTGTGTTTTCTCGATCGCGTGTGTTGCTTTGCGGCTTGAGTGATTATGTTATGCAAGTACCTCATCGGGTGAAACAGGAGCCTACAGCCCAAGTCAAATTCCGGTAGCCTTGCACGTCGGGTCGCGAAGGCGTGCTGTTTATATTCTCTACCGAACATAAACAGCATGACAACCAGCACACCGATTACAAATTGCAGTGCCGTGTGTTTCACACGTGGTTCCACACATCGCAAGACCCACCTGACATGGGAGTGTCAGACACATGCTTTGTCGTGTGCCCATCTGCGGAAAAGTTGCATTGTGCACCGCCGCACAATGTACGTAAAATGCTAGTTTCAAAGTGTTGATGGTGGCAGAATTGTGAATATTATCTACATTGCATCCTGAGTTGTAAGCAGCGCAAGTGGGTGTTGTGAAAGCAAACCTTTTTGTTTTCGCGCCTCCATGACAGCAGTTGCCATGATGTCTGAATGTGTTTTCGATACTGAGTGTAGCGATTCCTCAACTGATCCTTTCAGGTAATTCTGGTTCGAGATGCGACGGTGTGTCAACGGATTGCCCATGGTGGGATACTGTGCCTGGACGAAAATTTCAGTCAGCAGAGCAATTCAGCAAGAATTGTCGCCCCGGGAGTTCAGCCTGAGGTCGCTTGCCTTGGTCGGTTTGAGATGGGCTAAATTTCTGTTTCGTCACGGCAGACCTGCTCTGCGGATTGTTGTTCCACTGGACGGTTGTTATGTGAAATGATGCAGCTAGCGGCTAGCGTAGCATCTCAGCTGGGCCGCCAAGTGTCGACCGATATCACAGCATCGGCCGAGTTGCGAAGTGCCGACGGTGCCCGCCAGTGTACTTCGCTCAAAGGCCACAGCCTCGTGAGAGTATTGAAAATTCGTGGGAACACAGAACACAGAACCGAGTGATACGCTTGTAAGCTTTCATTTTAATCGCGACACTTTGGATTTTCGGGAATTGCTCCTCAAACTGTTTCTCATGTCTCAACAGTTTTTCTCCGCATATTAAATGTGTCTCGAATATCTCTACATGAAGCTGAAAAGTTCTAGCCAATTCCTTGCTATATCGTGGAAACGCGAGGAATTTCGCTGGTGGCAGGATCGGAACATGTTTTTTTGGGGTGCCTCCGGCTACGAATTGGCAAACTAGCCACGAAAAAACAGGGCGAAACGTGAGGCAAACCAAGGTTGGAGCGACGTCGATGTTGTTATTCAGCCCAACCACCGAGTCACAAAAACTACTGTCAGCCAAAGTGGTCGTGTTTAGGCATCTGGAGACTGGGATCGGCAAGTTCTCCTTCGTTGATGGTGTTGTCCCAACAAGATATCCCTTTACCACTTGAGTGTGTAGCCTTGCAAGAGCAATGTTTCATAGCACTTCTCTTACGGGACTTGCTTTCAGGGCTTTCCAGTGTAGCCTCGTGCTTAACAGTGGTCCTGGTAGCTCTGGTGGTGTTCCGTCAGTGTTCTTGAGTCATGACACTTCCAGACTATATAGACTTTGCAAGGTCGACCCGGACTGTCCGGCCAGATCATTCGAAGCCTTGAAGGGCCAGAACAACTACTAAGCTCGTCGCTTCGGACTGGGCATTTCTGGTAGGCCGCACAGTGAGGTCTCACCATCCTGCAGCTTCCAACAAGCGGAGCAAAGTGTCAGTATTTGGTGGAAAAGAGCCCTTTCGCGCAGAGTCGGCAGCCTGCCCAGATGATTTCCAGCAACCCTATACAATTTTTGCAGAATCCCTTTTGCAGGTCCGGTACCGAACTGTTTTACAGACTTCTAGACAGAGCTATTGCCGTACCAAGGGTGAGGCAGACTGCTGTTGAAAGATTTGTGCAGCATGACAAGCAAAGGTAGTAATCCAGAAAAGCTCAAACAAGCCAGAGCAGAATTCGTGCCTCAGGCAAAATGGGGCTCCTCGCCGGCTGGCTTGTTGGCCGGCTCGCTGCCTTTGTAGCGTCCCTGATCTCGGCCAGGTCCCACTTCAGCTTGGGTTAGCAATTGTTTCCGCACGAGGATCCGAATCATGATTCCGCAGGAGCTCATCCGGCAAGAGCAGTATTTGTCTGTCACCTTGCTGCCTTTGCAGTTCTCTGGCGTACAGCCAGGTTGGGTACGCCGCTTCCAGGAATGTTTTCGGACAGAGATGACATCCAGGCATGCCTCCCGCAATACCTTGTGCCGTTGCTTACGGTACGTGCAGTTTGGGAGGGAGCAACTACAAGTCCAAGCAACGTTCCTTGTCCCTGACATGCAGTTGACGACCTCCTGTTCTGTCCAAAGGATCGACCACCAAATTAGAACATGGTTTCGGTTCAGGTCCAGCTAATTATCGAAGTAGGCTGCGGAACTAGATAGCCTTGTTGCTTGTGAAATCTGGACGAACTATCCTCACAAGACCCTTCATGTAACGAAAATCCAGTGAAAACATACACAGAGCAAAACTACCATTTATAGTTATCAGGAGCATGCTTCATTTCGAGCCACTCACCGTTGCCTTTTCAATTGCCTCCAAACTTACATCGGGCCGAATAATCAGCGATTGAAGCATTGAATCATTGCACAGGGATGTGTAGGTTTCCGCAAGCAGAAAGCCTGGAATGTACATGACGAAGTAGCAGCATACGTGGAGAGCCAATGGTAAGCGTCAAGCTCGGTAAGTCGACATGGCATGCATTGACCTATACAACAGTGTTTACCGCATTCGGATTTAAACCAGCGCAGTCGGATGCACAAGTGGAGCCGCAGTCCCTGAGAAAAAGTCCGCGATTCAAGTGTTGTGCAATGCGGGCTCGTCCTTGCTAAGTGTAGTAGGAGGGAAAAAGTGTTGTATTGATGTTGGTTTGATTCCCTGGAGGAGTGAGAGGGTCCCCGGACTTGAATATGGTCATTCTTCAGCTCCAACTAACTTCCCTGCGATGCGACTTTGTCAGCTGGGCCGGTGGGAAAGCAGAGTTGTACTGTTACTTTGTGGCCGGTGGCCGATACTACTATCCGGAGGTGTTCAGCTATGGATAGACCACACTTGGCAGAGACAGCTTCAAGATTCAATGTCGTAGGTACGCACTTCCGGCTGAGCACACAGGCGATCAGCCGCGAAAGCACGAATCAGCCCACTTCAAAGATTCCGCCCAATAGCTGACTGAATGAATTCGTTCCGCCCAATCAAGCAACTTCCCCCCACACGGCTCGCAACGTCTTTTTTGAAAGCGGACCGAAAGTATGCATGATGTGGACCATCCGGGTATTACATATAGGTAGATAACTAGATAAAGATAGATAGATACATAGATAGATATAACACATGGATAGAAAATAGCTTTTAGAAAGCCGAGAAAACAGGTCGTGGGCACTCCAATTCAATGGTTCTTTGCGTGTGTCGCTGCTGCACTGCTCGGCAGCGCGGGGGCCCGGTCCAGTGTTGGGAAGTCCGCTTAAAAGTCCGTTGTGATAGGTTCCGGGTAGTTCCTTTCACTGTTCCCTTTGATATGTGAAAACCGTCGTTCTGAGCTGTAGTTGAATCGCAGGGGTGTTGGTTTTGGTTCCGGTGCGCCTGGGCACAGGAAGACCATGGCACTGATGTTTTCGTGCGGGTGGTGCAAGAGATTGGATTCTGTTAAACGGCTTCCAAGTTCTCGATGTCTCTGCCACAATGCTCAGGCCTTCTCTCCAGTTTGCCAGTCCTAGATGCGGAAGTGAGATATTGATGTCACTCTGTCGCCTTGCTTTGCTGGCCATCGCGGCTGCAGAGTTCTACGAGCCCTGCACACCTGCGCAAGCTCTCCAGGCTCTGCGTGCAGTGGGCTCACTGGATGCTGGGTCAGGCGATTTCAATAGCTTCTGCCAAGGCAGCCCGACGTCCCCGTCTCGGCGCCAGAATTTCACAGGCTGTGGCTGCTTCGCGGGGCTCTTGGCAGTTAAAGAGGAGGTCGTGTACGAGCTTGCCAAACTCAAAGTGTTGCGCCAAGTCGATGCTAAAAAGCTGCAGAATAGGTCAGCAGCATTGCAACTCTACCGTATCAAGCTTCGCCGTGGCCCCGGCCTCGCAGAAGCTCGGGCAGCTCTACGAGAAAAGTTCAAGCAAGTCCAACACTCTCTCAGCTACACCGCCGGCATGGCCCTGCGTTTCGCAGATGAGCGAAATCTTGGATTCCAGGGCGATAGGTTTGCGGCTCTCATGAGCGAATTTCTCGTTTACTTTAAGCTGGAGTACACCGAACCGGCATACGGGATGATGGTGCAGAACCACAACACCTGCTTGCTGGATATTTTTGCTGGCAGGTGTGAAAAGAGGAACCTTCCCATTTTCGAGAAGTTCCCAGCGGTACAGGGACCTCCACAGGAGGGATTCATGTTAGACTTTCTTGGTGTGTCAGTACCTATCGAGGCAGATTGTCAAGAAAGGCAGTTCGCATTGCTGGCACCAGGGAGAACCATGCTGTGCGAGTACTACAAGTCAGGCATGCCTTTGCCTCGAGTTTGGCCTGTGCTAGACGAGGAGTATTTGGAATGGGCTGATATCCTCACGACTGCGATGGATGCAGCAAAGGCCGGAAGGCCATTCCGCATGGCTGAGTTCGGCAGCGGGCCTTACGGAATTTGGGCCATGCGTGCGGCAAAGGCCTTCACTGCGGTTGCTGCCGCTGACCAGCCCTGTGAGTTGTTACTTGTGGAGCCTTTTGAGCTGGGAGATGGCTCCATTTTGCAAACGCACACAGCTATGAACTTGCCCCTTGGTCGGTGCGAATTTCTGGTGCACGAGGATCTTCTGAGTACGAACGACCAGGTCAAGGCTTTGCTGGGATCGGGTGATCTTTGGGATCTGGTCGACATAGATATACAGGGAGCAGAGCACGAGATTCTGCCAGGCTTGTTTGCATGGCTGTCGACCCGAGTTCGGCGCCTGCATGTGTCAACACATACGCGCCAGATTCACTGGCAACTCGTCGAGGAGCTGGAAAGGGATGGTTGGCAGATCCAGGCTCAATATCCTACCTTCTCCATGGTGGGCCTGGAAAACAATGCTTTGGGGTCGTTTCTTACCTGCGATGGCCACATTAGTGCACTGCCTCGTTTTTGGCAATGGACGTAGTCTCAGTCATCTGGCCTTCTCCAGGACTGCACGCCTGCCGACATCCGACCAGAGACGTAGAGCATCGTGGCTCAAGCAAGAAATGCCCTTCTCACTTGGGCATCTTCTCATACCGGAAAGGATCCTGCAAACACGTCGCAACTTCAAACACATCCGAGTTGCAAGAGGGTGGGCTGTGCACGCAATCGCGAAGGTGCATCGAGGAAAAGGGTCGTACCTCATGTGAGGCTATGCCGCAGCTTCCCTCCCGAAACCTTCCCGCAAAATGCACTGTGTAGTCTTGCAAGCGACACACTGCCCGACCCCCACCTGCCACTCGGCTCCATGCCTTGGCCCTGCCCTGCTCTTCAGAGGTCTGGCAGTTGCGCGCATGGGAGGCCAACCCAACTGGAAGATCGGTTGCCAGCTGCTCAGGCACAGTTCGGCTTATGGCCGTTGAAGTATGCTAAACTTAAATTTGTGTTTATGGACCTCTGCATGCGGGATCGCTGGGATCTCTCGATATTCTCGATATACGTAGAGTTGTTGAGATGAGTTGCAGCCCCCGAGACAAGGCACATAGCAGTGATCAAGGGAGCTTGTGGTACTGTAGCGGTCGTGTTTAGGCCCAGGCCCGCAATCCTTTGTCTTTGTGAATCACTCACTCTGCAGGTGACTGGTTTGATCGGAAATTGTGTAATTATGTGAGATGGTACGCCTGCAGCTGCTTCTCAGTTCGATGCAAACTGTTCAAGGGTATCAGAGCCGGGGGGGATTGTCGAGAGCAGCGGGTGCGCGCAGGCGAGCCGATGCAATTAAACAAGGAATACAAAGACAGAAGCGAAGGGCAGAGGGAAGAAAGAGGCGAAAAGCAAGAACGCCCATCCGCAACGAGAATGAAAGGAAGCAATGCGGCAGGATAGTTGCTATTCGCTCATTTCCGTATCCTTCTCTCCTTTGTTCTAGTCATCTGGGTTTTTGTTATTCTTACTTGTCCCATGCTTCGCCTCGCGTGTTTTTTTGTTCTACCTCTTTGCGCTGATTGTTGGCTTCTTTGGGACAGTATCCTTTTTTCCCTGATCCTCTTCGGCCCCGTTTTGGTTTGCTCGCGTCGCTCCGTATGAGTTTCGTTGTGTTTCTCCCCTTGCTTCCATATACCAGTACGCTTTTTTGTTGTTCAGCTCTTGCTTGCATAGGCTCGCCTGCGCACGCCCACACTTCTCAACAATTCGGTCAGGAGCTTGTCGAATCGTATGCCAGAAGCGTCAAAGCCGAAGGCTTTGAGCTTTGTGATGTTGCTTTTTGATTTGGGGAGAAGGCGTCTGCCATTTCGGGACCTTTGTAGGGCAGTCCTGTAGTGTGCCCGGCCATCCGTTCCGTTTGCGGAAGAATGCTCGGTGGTCATCGCTGCTGCTGCAATTGAGCTGAAAAGACAAGCCCAACGTGCTAACTCCGAGTCCATTCTGAGCCATGAGCATCAAACTCCTAGAGGTGTGGGCCGGCAAGCTTTTTTCAGCACTCCGCATTAGTCCACCATAGGTGCTCCTGTTGGCTTGCGGTTACATTCCCGAACCCGTGCTGGCTGCTCAAGCACGCCCCTGTGACCTTAGCGTCTTCCAAGACGTCTTGCATGAAAGCATGTGCGACTTTGCTATCTCGTCATCTTTCTGTCGCTAGGCTTTGGTGTTGGTTCTGGCCGAGCCCGCCCGCGGAACGCTGTGTCCCCTGTCCCAGCATAGACCACCCGACCGGCACCAAGAGACTAGGCGAGCGGCCCAAGCATGGACCGTTTTGGCTGCCAACCGTGCTGTGGTGCGGCGGCGCATAGCATTAGTGACTAGTTCCAAGTTGCAGCACGGAAGGCACCGTGGACTACGGCTTGGAGATGCTTGGAGTGGTTGCACCCGCCATAGATTCTATGGTGCACCAAAAGCGGAAGTACCGCACTGACTTCGAGCCTGCCCGGTATCGACATGTTGGCACATGTTCAACTACTGGCGTGTCGATGGCAGCTTAGAGGCCCTCTGCGTGAATGTATGTGCCATGTGCGACGCCGACGTCAGGGGCAGGTAATCGCCCCCTGCGGCGAACGCGGTTGAATGCCGCAGATCAGCGCTTGATCCTGCTTGGGGTCCACATCCTGTCGTCTGATGACATCTGCGAGTCTGCGACAGCCTGGCCACAGCGGGCCGCCGGCGAGGCGGGTCTAACCAGGATGCCTGGCGGGTCCACAGGAATTCCTCCAATTCAAGGTGGAGTGTGCCACGGTGAGCTCGGACAACTGCCTCCTCCACCATGGCTCTACTGCTGGCGCTTCCCCGGCGCCCACCTCTTTATTCCAAGCACGCCGTGACCATTCAAAGCACTATCTATACAAGGACCACCTCCACAAGCCCAACTCGCGCCAGCGATTGCCATGCTCGTCTGAGCCGCCACCATCCTCTCATTCTGTGATGAACGCTTGTCAGAAGATGATCGCTTGACTCTGCCTGCCCGGGAGTTGACGAGTGAGAGGGTGGCACAGAGAGATCGGGGGGTTCATTTAGACTTTCGACATGTGTGCATATGCGTGAGCCGCAAGACTTCTTGTTCGCAGCGCTGGGCGGCTTCCTTATCCACAGCGATAACACTCGCCGCCGTTGATGTGCACGAGTTGGGTTGGTGCAGCACTCGTCACCGCAATGGCGCCATTGGCGACAGCCGGGCTCCTGCCCGCTATACGGACCTACTGTATACGTTGCGCCGCCGTCTTCGTGCCAATGAACAGTAAATGCCACCTCCCCTTTTTTTATGGCACTGACCCAGTTCGGAGACCTAGTAGAGGTAGGGAAACTGTGTTTCAAATCAGGGTCTTCACGCGAACTGTGTAGATTTTACCCTGCGTCCAGTACTACGTACTACTTTCGATGTTCTTAGCTACGTCTCTACGCGGCTGCATGGGCCCAAGTCCCCGCTGTTAACAGAGCACATTGGGTTGACTGAGTGGAACCTAGTTGACGTATTTGAGGTAGCTGTGATACCTGTAGGTAGCTCTGATGGCGTTGGTCCCCAGTATATGGCACTCCGTTGAATCGATAATCAAGGCACCAATGCACAGAACTATTTCACGCAGTTGCTCCAAAAGAAACAACAGATCAACGCTTTCATCAACGACTGGTCATTGGAGCATACAGCCGAAGAAGAAGGCTGAAAGCCCGGCACCGTATGATGTCGGATGTTATCTACACGGAAGCAAGTATTCATGTCAGATCTTTGGAAGCTCATGCGGAAGCAGAGCACGCAAGGCGTTTGGCCGTTGTACAACAGGGGTACACATGTTTTGGTATCCCAACTCAACACAGAGATGAACCCGCACAGGGCGGAAGCTGAGCAGTTTCAGTCAAGGCTATTTCACAGGGAAACAGATTGCCATGAGGAAAGGCAGGCAGCACTTAGGTTCACCTCACAGAACATGTCGCTTACAACTGGTGCACTTCACTTCGAGACACTGAAGCACAACGAGCTACAGACAGCACAGCTTCGGAAATCGTTCGACGATAATCGCTCGACGCTTCTTGAGTATCTTGCACAGGATATTGCGGAAAGGCTTCAGTGGGAAGAGAATGAGTGTTTTCAGAGGTTGAGGGCTGAAGAGATGCAGCATGATGATTTGGTGACGGGAGTACTCCCTTTGTTAAAACCAGTCGTGCCAAGTGGGTGACAAAAGTTAAAACCAGTGCAGATCCCAGTGCAAATAAATGAGCAGCGCGCGTCTGTTCTGTATGCAGATGCCTTCATTACTCTCCAGGGAGTGCGTCGTGCAGCCAACAAATGGGGGGCAGAATGCTCGCCGTTGCATGCCTTGATGGGTTCTAAGAATGGTTGGGGGGCTTTGTTTTTCGGTTCATCGGGACACAGGCTTGCATTTCGGTGTCAGGTACCCGCAGAGTCGCTGGCTAAGGTTGCTCCTTCACGAGCGTTTAGAGATGATGGCGCAAATCTTGTCACTGTCCATGGCGGTGATTGCGTCTCATGTGCGTAGACATATGGTGTGCTTCATGGACAGCACTGCCGCGGAACATGCGCTGCGCAAGGGTTATGCCAAGGGTGAAGCCTTCACCAAGACGTTGGCGTGCTTGTGGTCTTGGGTCGCGGAAACCGGCCTACAGCTTTCCACCGAGTGACGTCTGCTGCTAACTTGTCGGATGGCATCTCTCGAGGATGCCGGGATGAAGCAGAGTCATTGGGGTGTCAGAGACTGTATATCCGAAGTTCGAGCGCTTCCACCAGTTCTTTTCGAGGGTTCAACGGGGCGAGTGGAAAGCCTTGCTCGGCCAGTTCTCCCAACTCGTCGACGAAGTTGCCGACTTCCAGTCCACGCGCCAGAGTGGGGAACAGCGCGTGTGAGTGGCGAAATCGCGCTGCTCGGAGGGGGCGTCCAGAGGACTCTGCCCCGGGCAGACATTCAATGCACTCCAGCCAGTGGGACGAGGAAAAGAGAGAGTCCGCTGTGCCAGTTGACATTCAATGCACTCCAGCCAGTGGGACGAGGAAAAGAGAGAGTCCGCTGTGCCAGTTGCATGCTGTGCTGGGTAGGAGCGAATACTTTCGCGTTGATGTGTGTGCGCCTAGCGAGACTTGTCTGGAGTGTTTGTTTCGGTTGCATCATATGTATTCAATGTATTATCATCTCGTTGTTCGTCGAGGCCCCAGGCTCCGATCGCGACCGAGTTCTGAAGCGAAGCGCGGAAGAATCGATTCTGGTGTCGTGAGTAGGGTGGCGCAGCAATCCCTTCTTGATCTTGTCAGACCCTGCTATCAACAACTCGTATGCATGCTGCCAAGCGCCATGCATCCCAAAGCCAAGCAAGTATACGTATGTTTTTCCGGACCACACCAGACCACGAATCGTTTCAGTTTCACGACTCACGACTTGAAGTGGTCGTGTCTTCCGGCCCTTATTGGTTGCCCAGGTGTCGCCGCGTGGGTTTTCACCTTGGTGGGCTAGCAGCTGTTGGAACACAGGCTGGTTCTGCTGTGCGCTTATGAAGGCTTAATGAGCCCAGCATGAAAGGGGTATAAAGGGGTGCTGGTTATGATGAGCAAAACTCATGCCCGGAAAACATGGAACGACCTCCACATTTCACAGCATGAAATGCAGCATGTTTAGATAATGAGTGGTTTCTGAATGTTTCCGGCCATTCTGACATCCGTTGTGTGAAATGGTGACATTTAAATAAGGTTGGTTCCAGGGTTGGCGCGAATCCAAGCAGGCAACAGACCTTCCCATCCCGGCACCTACAAACCCCTGTTAATGCACGCCTCCCTCCCTTCCGCTGCGCCCATCCTGCTGGTCGTCGGTTGTTTCTTCACGCAGCACATCTTCAACTGCTCCGGTTGGTCTACGAGATTCTACGAGCAAGGCCCCTACATGGAGCCTGGCTCCTTTCGACACAGACACACACCAACAACCAAGCGCACATGCACAAGTGCGCACGTGTGGCACCCAGCCCCCTTAGGCAGAGGCAGACAGGCGGACAGACAGACAGACAGACAGACAGGACAGACCGACCGACAGACAGTCAGACGTATGTGCACACACGCACACGCAAGCGCACGCGCACACACGCGATCACACGCATGCACACGGTTTTCTTGCTTGCAGGAAGGGACGCCGGACAAGAAGTATCAGATATACCTGCCGTGATGAACCGTGGAAGAGTTGTCGTGAGTCACAGCAAAAACCCAGCAGCTCGCAATAGATGAGCTCAAGGCCGAGGCGCTGCTGAGCCTGGTGCTTTCCCAGGAAAAGCTGCTTCAATCGATTCTATGCAAATCACACATGTAAAGGGTTGCGGAATTTAGGCTTGCGATGGGCAGCAGCGGTGGCTACACGTTTTGCAGAATGGAGGATTTGAACACTGACGGATCCGAAGTTGATCTATGGTTACATAATTTATGTGACTTTTATGTGCTGTGTTTGAGTTTGACATGGGCTCGGCTTTCGCGACATGTTGTTTCCAATTTGGATGCCCAGATCCCAACGAAGTACGAGGAGGGCATTGCGAGCAGTTTTCATTGTCGCACCAGTGAAAAAGGGGAAGGATCATTTCATTATGGTTCTTTGGGCCTGCCAGGGCCGGAATGGCTCAACATTTGTTTTTGTTGTTTCCGTTTTGGCCGTAGGCTTCAGAATTCTCGGGGTGGTTACCTCGACTATTGAAGACAGTAAGTGTCCACAACCGATCTTGTGTCTGCAAGAAGACAAATGGGGAATCTTGCCAAAAAGCCGAAGAAAGGATTCACAGTGCGAAGCGTGCGCCAAGGCGCAAGCACTGCAAGCCCAAACTCGAAGGTCATACCCCGAAACTGGTGTCCAAGCGAGAAGTCATCGCGACATTGTTTGACCTCGAAGATGCCTCGCAACAGATCCGACAGGTTGGGGGATGTTATGGGTGTGTCCTGAAGGCACAAATTGGACCACGGTCATGTTGACATGAAGCTCCTCACCTTTTAAGTCTCGGCTTTAGTCTGGCTTGAAACCCCGAAGGCAGCGAGAACGGTGCCTTTGACCGGCGAGGTCATCATGTGACCGGGCCCCGTAGATCCAGTGGCTACGATCAGCATCAAGACTCATTTGGTTACCCCAGCTGTCCAAGAGCTGTGGTTCCCAGGTGTTGCGAGTATCTGTCACATTCAGCATCAATTAATGCACACTTCGATGGTGTACTGAACCCATCCGAAGCCACTGGCAGATCGCAGGTAGACTCCCCAAACCCGCAGGACTCATGGGTCAAGAAGTGTCAGACGAAGCATCGTGAAAAGCAGTGCTGCAATCCCGTTAAGGAAGGAGTTGCTTGAGCCTGCAGATGTTTAGGGAGTATCCAAGTCGATCCTTTCAGCAGATGTGCCCCGTCACAGGGGCCAGCTAAGACAACCGGGGAGGACCAAAATGCGAAGTGCAAGTCGAAGTTCAGCTTATAAACTCCTGAACCCTTAAATTCAACAAAACCAAACTCCCGGCGCTTAACCAAGGCTCTGTCGCTGAAAAGCCCAATCCACTCCTCAGTCCCCGCACCGCACGACCTCCATTAGAGGTCTCCTTTTAAGAGATGAAGTTGAAGTCCGGCCGCACATGTCCAAGGGCGGCATGTGAGGCACGGTGACCAGGCTCCTCCCTCGCTCAACGATCTGCTCAGAGTATCGGGCGGTATTACCTTCAAGGTTTCGCAACACACGGTCTTGAACTCGAGGTCCTCATGTCCAATGTGTCTAAGAAACACGTACTTGGACACTGGAGGGTTTGGAGGCAGCGGGCAGGTGCAGTCTGAAGTCGTGCCGTTCATGGTATGTTTGGAACTCACAAGCAATTCCTGGTTTCAGGGCTGTGTCCCCGGCCGGCACTATCAAGCACGCGATGCAGAACTGGGGATGTAAGCAGTCGAAGTAGTTCAAACGGATTTCACAAGCGGTGGCGTACACTTGCGTGCTCCGACATCCCGAGCAGCCAAAGCAGAGGAGCCAATGACCTTTGCTCGATGTCCTGTGCACCTCTTCATGTCGCCTGGCTGGAAGCCCGACAACAGTCGCACGAATTTTCAGCTCCGTCCTCACACTGCGTCTGCTCGGAACCCATACAAGTCTTTTGAATCCTGTCAGCTGTGGCTACCGAAAGATGGTATCCACGCTTCCGACGAGAACTGCGCCGTAGTGCGCATTTCTATGGTGAGGAATTGCGACGGGCTTGAGGGTAACACTGGAGATGTCCTAATGCTGCGCTGGAAGTTCTCACCATGTTACGACAGCATTTGCAGGCTTGCCTTACTGGCTTCCTTTCGCAGGGTCATGGATCAGAAGTCTGCCAAGCCAAGATTTCTCACAGACCCCATGATTCCGATTCTGCTGAAGTACAATTTCTCACCGTTTTCCTGTGCAGTCGCTGGGCCTGGCCTTACGCGACTTGGGGGAGGGGGCTAGACTCGGCTAGACACGACAAAGAGACGAAATGAGAGAGGGGAAGAAGCGAGGCTGGAGCTTTGCGCTTTTTGCGCTTTAAAGCCGACTCTCTAACTGGGCCTTCTGGGCACTCGGCACTTTTGGCCAAGCGCCTCAGACCTCGAGCGGGCAGAGCTTTTCTCAAAGGCCTCCGGAAGCGAAGGGCATCGAAGTGCAGATTGTCTACACGTTTTTAGACCCATATGCCGCATAGTCGAATAGTCTTCATCATTGCTTTGTCAAGACTGAAATTGACACGCTGCAGCATGTGCCAAGACGGGAGCACCTATTAAAAAGGATGAACACGCGATCTGTAGTTCCTGCAGACGAGACCAAGCGCGTTTCTCCGTGAACGCAACATTGCCTAAGCCTTCAGGGTCTCAGGGGACGCAGGAACATGTGGTCAAGGTGGTGCGGACACTGCGATTGTTGAGCCTGTTTAGGGAGTTTGAGTACATGCAAAATACTTAGAAGCAGAGTCGACTTTGAATGAGAACTGAACATGCGCCGGAGGTCCCGAAGAGCATGCGTTGCCTGATTAATTAGGGCAGACCTTGCCGGTGGTTTGCGAGCCAGGCTACCGAACTTTCAACATTCACAATATGTCTCGCAGTTTCTTCTTGTGTGCCGTGGAAATGTGAGCATGCTACCCCCAGAAGAAGATCTGCGAGCGGGCACAGGCCTCAAGGAGCTCGTGTCCACTTAGTGGGGATGGCGTGAAGCTCTTCATTGCAAGTTCCAGATCGGTTCACCACTCAATACCATCCCCATCCGGATGTGTACAGCCATTGCCGAGGCTGCCGAGGGCCGCGAAAAGGCAACAGAAACAGTATAAGCAGCTGTTGAGCCCAAACGGAGCAGTCATTCTTGGACATTAGAGAAGAAACCAACCCCGAGTAAAGTAGCATCGTAGCTGAGTAGCTCAGTAGTATCAGATAGGTCCTCTTGCACTGTAAGGCCATGAGTTGTAAAAGCTTATCCAATCTGTATCCAATCTGGTCAGAGGACTGTTTGCACACGTTCTGGCTTGTTCAGCATCAAATGTCGAGCCATGCTTTAGACATGACCGCGCGTTCTATGAGCAAGCAACATCTAATGTCCATTGGCACAGTGCGTCGCGTGATACAGTGATACAACTTTGACTTTGTTAGCTCCTTCAGCACCATGCAGCGGCTTCAGCTGGACGAAC